AAAACTGAACTCCAGGTAGATCAAAGAAAAAAAAATGAATCCAGCTCTGTATTAATTATTCATTTATTTTTTACACGCAACTAGTTAATGTATTTGTCTTGGTATCAGCCTCTTGCAATTCCTCTACAACAGGACTTAAAGTGATATTAAAGGCAAAAAATGTTTTCCCTCCCCCCCATGTAAATGTTAGCACTTACCTTAAATTATGTCTCTTATTCTGGTCTTCCTCTTCTTTCCCCATGTTTTCATGTGTCCCTCCAGCGGTGCGACGTCACTCCGATCCAGCGCTGACTGCTCTGTCCCTCCGATCCAGCGGTGTCTGCATGCGGGTGCACGCGTCCATAGATTTACCTTGCGTCTCTGCTCGTCTCCCATCCGAGAATCGGAACTGCGCATGCGCCCGCCCCAACATCCTTTGCAGCTGTACGAGCAGTTCCTGATTCTCGGCGCGGGAGCGAGCAGCGATAACGAGGTAAGTTTAACCTCTTGCCGTCCGCCCGTAGTAAAAAAACGGATGGACGGCACTGCTGCATTTGCGGGTTGCCGTCTCCAGACGGCAATTTTTTTCTGCTCGCGCGCGCCCCCTAGCGGGCACGCACGGGCAGAAAAGACCCGACTGTTGCACACACCCGTAATTGGGTAATAATAAATGTTTTTTATCATTTAATATAGGGGAAACTGTTTTTTTTTTTTAAATTTCGGTAATTTTTCCTTAATATAGTAAAAAAATAAAACCCCCAGTGGTGAATAAATACCACCAAAAGAAAGCTCTATCTGTCCCCAAAAAAGGGTATAAAATTCATTTCAGTACAGCGTTGCATGACGGAATAAATGTCAGTCAAAGTAACGCAGCGCTGAATACTGAAAAATGGCCTGGATGGGAAGGGGGTTTAACACCGCGGATGTCAACTGGTTAAAATGATTTCAAGCGGGTTTTTTTTTACACTTCTTGCCTATATCTACTGCTTGCTAGCAGTAGATATAAGCAAAAAACTGGAGGGTTTAGAACCCCTTTAAACTAGGAGAGGGAGGGGAAAGACAATGAGCCTATCATGCATGCTGCATGCAAATGTGTTGAAAAAAGAACATGCTGTTAGGAGAAGAGAATAGGATGAGCAGAGGCATGATGTCATCAGTCTTTTGCTACTCTTTCACTATTCAATCAGAAACCTGGAGGTAGAGAGAGAAAACCACTGCACAGTAGTTTTGAACTGCAAGTTGTGTCCACTTGGCTGTGCTGTCTAGCAGGGCTGTGAAGATCTCATGAATGAAAGGACAGAAATAGAAATCCTTTGTCAGGCAACACAGCTCTCCTATATGATTTTTGTCTCTGTATTTAGCTGTTTCCCGGGAGTTTGGCTTTCAGCTAGAGGACTAAGATGCTTTACTATGTCTGAGAGCATTTGTAATGCTATCTTTAGTGGCACAATCATTATGTGTAAGGGATCAGTAAGAGATATGGAAAAGAAGAAAAGAAGAACAAAAATGAGATGAACATGCAAGCTTTTGGAGGTGGGGGTATTGCAAGTGAATTGTGCAGTAGGAGTTAGTACTGTGGCTGTCTTTAGCTACAATATGAATAAACAGAAATAGATATCAACCATATCTGAATGTAAAATAATTTAATGTTAGCTGATTAAATTACATAGCACATGCCAAATAACTAACATATGTTAACATACTTTTATTCTACTTTCTATTAATAACAGTCTCAAAAGATACAAAGGACTATTTTTTAACCCCCTCATCACTGAGCTTGTTTTCACTTTCTGTTCGTTAATGACTGACACGCTTTTTGCTGTGTGATTCTTCCATGCCAGTAATATACTTTCTTAGTAAGTGCACCCACACATATTATATATTGTTTTTTAGAAGACAGATCGGACTATGTATTTATATCACATACGTGTGCCTAACACCTAACTTAGGATGAATAAACTATTTTTAAAAATAGTTTATTCATCCTAAGAAGAAAAGCCAAGAAGAAAAACAGTGCTGTGTCTTTTTTCTTTTATTCTGACACGAGCGATGTCAGAATAGAAAAAAAAAAAAAAAAAATTTTCCCATTGAAAAGCATTGGGACATTACTATTGGCTATTTACATTTGCAATAGCCAATAGTAAACTAGCATTGT